GAAAAGCATTGATGAATTAATTATTTCTTGACTATAGAAGTCGGTTCTATAAAACGGACTCGGATATTTCCTCGGTTTTTTTCCTGATAATATTCCACAATGTAAGACATTTTATATAAGAAATTCATTTTAAAGAATTCATTGAATTTTAGTAAGTTTTCACTAAACAAAAAAGAGAGAAAATCCGGGCTGTTCATATTGGTCCGTAATTATACCTTTTATCATTAAATGCGCATACATTTATCAGTAAAGGTGAAGTGCGAATATACGGGTTTTCTCTCCATCGCGAAATGTATTGCTCCACATTTAAAAATTATGATGCTTTTAACATTAAATATTTAATATTCCTTCTTATATTTCTTATTTTGTTTTTTACCTTTTTTGCATTTCTTCTGATGATAAAATTAGTATCAAATAATAATATTTTCGTAACGTTTATAAGGTAATAGACGAGTAATACAGACTTCAGACCTCTCAAATGCTTATGTTGTTGACAGTTACGACGCATTCTAGCCACTGCATCGAGTGAACGACACGGCGCACACCGCAAAACTTCTCTTTTTCACTTTGTTTTTGTGGCGAACCGAAGTTTTTGCCGTGGGCACTGGAGCGAAAACAAAACCGAAGCCATACCTCGGTTATCGAGTATCGCGACTTAGTATATATTATACATCTGCGCCTATCTCTATTTCCTATTAGAATTTAACACCATCGTGATTGAAGGCGATGATTAAACTAATTCACATCAGTTCTAATCTCTTTTATATACAGAGAGACAAATGTAATGATTTCCTTACGCTTTAATCGCTCTTACAGTACTTGGACATTAATCATTTGATTATAAATAATAAATTTAATTAACGAGTAACAAGTAAATAAGGTTAATAAGAAAAAAATGAATCGATATTCATCAAATAAGTACATAATATTTAATAAGCGTTAACATGAGAATAATAACTAATGAGCAAAAGATTGGAATAGCTTTTCAGCATGACACTTTTGAAGGAACCACGTTTCCCAGGAAAGGAAAGTCCCGTTGTCGCCGCGGGACAATCACGGATCGCATTAGTGTCATTATCATTTCACCCTCTTGCTGCCGTTCCACGCCCTATCGCGTTCGACCGGGGATTATTTCGAGACCGGAAGGCGCGCGAAAACGAGATTAACAAGATCGAAGAGAGATTTCCGGTGGAAAGAGAAGGAGAACTCGTCCTTTCGGCATCGCGCCGACCGCCGTAGTTAATCGATATCATCCTTTCTACGCCTATTCTGCACCCTACCGCACACCCTTCTTCTGACGCAACCCCCTCACTGTCCGCCATCCTTTTCCGCACCGTGAACAATATCTTACACTAGTCGACAGTGCCTCTCCTGACACTGATTTTTCAGTTTTTGGCAAACTCTCTCCGGTGGAGTATCCGTGCTGCGATCTGTCGATTTACGAAACTTAAGAAGAAAAAAAGTCCTTGAAAAATACGTGCTTATGCATAATTATGCAATTAGTGCTGGTGAATGTTACGATGAACAAAGGAAGATCCTTTGCGTAAAAACAAGATAATACATTTTTTTTAAGTCTGCCTTTCGAAAAAAATTATTCTAAAGATATTGAATATCGCCAAACATGCCTTAGTCATTTAGAAAGTATTTTTTCCTTGAGGAAAGTATCGATTAGATTGTTATAATATACAAAAGGAAAAACGCTGAAAAAAATTCTAATTTTCTAAGGTTTTTTTTTTTCAGTGTTTGAAGATCATTTCTGATCTTACTCGCGAGTGATTTTTTTCTATTGTTTTCTGCATGGGTATAAAGTACAAACTGCCGTGCAATCTCGCGATGTAACTGAACCTTGAGATCGCGCGAATGTGTGAGCACCTTTATCGTTTCCACCTGCATACTCGGGCGGCCTCAGCGCCTCGTTTCACCTCCTCGACGGTCGCCATTCACGAAGTTTACCGGCCGGCGGCACGCGGTGCACAACGGTACCCGATGACGACGCCGGTTGCCGCCGTTGCCGGTGTCAAGGTCGTCCGTCCGTCCGTCCGTCCGTTCGTCCGTCCGTTCGTCTATCCGATGCGCCGTGGCCTTTCTAACGTGCCGTCGTTGCTAAAACACTCGTGAAGAAAATCGAAGCTTTCTGACCACACAATACGACGCTGTGATATTCGCTCGATTTCAAAGAATCAGGATATTTCGACATTATTAATAACTATAGTTTATTAATTATTCAGGAGATTATGTTATTTATATTATTTATACTCGAGATATTTTGAAGAAGCTGTGCAGAATGTATATGCAAAATTGATAAGATAGATATTTTAAAATTTTCGTAAGATCTTTTTATTCATTCAGACAGGCGAAATATTTACGTCAGTACCAAAAAAAAAGCATAAGAAAATACGGTGAGAAAGAATTGTTTGATTTAATGAGCAAAGTGTTACGATTATCAAAGTCTTGTCGATTTAAAAAGAATTTTTTTTTAATGGATGTGATATTTATGTTGTATTTTGTGGAAAAAATGGATGAAATAACTGGAAGTGTTTTCAGTGTAATCTTTCGATAATACAATATTTGCGCTTCCTTTTCGTGAAAATTGAGGAAAATTTCGCGTCGCGTCTCAGCTGGATAAGGATTCTCTCTTCGGTATTGTTGCGATCGAGACGATCTAGGTCTGAGATTAGAGAGAGAGAGAGAGGCCTCCGGCCTAGATACACGCAGTCAAGGTCCATCGTCTGTTTGTCTGCATGCATCTTCATTATATCATCTAATACGAGAAGCAGCACTTTTTATTCTACTGCATCGGGTGAAACTTGTCTATAGTGAAAAGAACAATTCTATTCAATCATGTAGAAATATTTTGTACTCTTTCTTACTTTCAATTAATGTTATTCTGGTTATTAAGAGAATTATTTCAAAATATACGCTAAGAAGTAACAAAAATGTTGTAATCTTTCGTACAACTAGAGATATTTTTTGAAAATCTTGTTAGATATTATATAAAAATATGCACGTATTTGTGCATTGAGAATTTCGCTCACAATATAATGATACTATATGATGATTCATGACGCTATAGCTGCATGATTCATTCGACAGAAAACTGATTGTCCAAGTTTAACTGTATAGATTATTAAGTATCAATCTAATTTGATATTGAAAGAAAATAAATTTTTTTTTAAATACTGAAAAATATGTGTAATGGACTAAAAAGTTTAAAAATTGATATCTCTCTTCAATCCAATTATATTTATTTATAGTAACAGAATTATATTGTGCAAATAAATATACTATATGTTCTTATATAGGGATAATTATACATTACTCATAAAATGCACATAATCATAAAATTATCAGAATAATTGTTTATGCAAGATGCAAGATTATAAGCATATAAATTAATTATTTATCATTGTGCATATTTCGATAGCATATGTAAGTAACAAAATGAGTAATTTAGATAAATATTGTAATTGTAATATAAAATAAATTTTTGATAATATGTTACCGTCTTGTATAGATATAGATAAAATGTATATTCAAAACCTAAAAATATTCACGACATATCAATTGAGTTATCATGTTTGCCGCATTGTACTAATAACATTAGATCATACGAGCTAATAAATTCGCATAGTCGCTACATGCTAATTCATGTAAATTGTAATAATGCAAGAAAAATTTATTTTTTGTCTTTCAGACTTTCTATTGGAGTTGATTTCATATGTATTTATGTAGGTATACTGCCCTGTATATACATCGGAATGCTATAATTGGCCATTGATATGCAATACGAGCTCGAATTTTATTGTCTGCATTCCTGATGCAGAAATTTTTTATCGCTCATTAATTTGCGATTGTTAAACAAAAAGTAGCATTTTCTATAAGAGAAACATTTTTTAATTGACAAAATATATTATTTTTTGATGATAAATATATTTTTAACATTGTTAATATATTTATAGAAGAAAAATTAATTTTGATTTAAAACTTGGAAAAAGTTAAATTAGAATAGCAAATTAGAATTGGATAAAAAACAAGACATAGCAAATAATTAAATCTAATTTTTAATGATAAAATGACGAAAATTATAATAGCAATGTAGACAATCGTATTTATAATTAACAATAATGTGATTTTAATTATAAAAATGAAATAATTTGTTATTGATCAAATATCTATGCCGGACCTGTTGTTTTCATATTCTGTTTGCAAGTTTCGGATTTACAGTTCTCAAGTCGCAACGAGGAAATAGATTGATCAACAATATGACGGAAGTAACGATAGTATTACTAAACTAATGTGACAGGCTGATTGACTATGCTTAGAAATTCGCACCACAGGGATTGTAGGGTCCAATTCATACAACAATACGTCGTTTGCATACTCACAAAAATAGTGGTCCTTTTAGCCTACCTGATCTTTCTGGAATTGTTCCCAATGCTATTTTCGTAAATATTTTCTCTAACAAAAACTAAAAGTTCTTCAAGCATGTAAATTGTTATAAAGCACACTTATTATGATAAAGATATATTTATTAAATTTATCAGTTTATATATATATTAATAAAAATTTATAATTATATTAACATATTAATATCAAGTTATAAATATATGTATCTATATTATACCAGCATCACGATAAATCAATAAAATTAAGTCAATTACTATAAATCAATGCATTTAGAGTGATGCTGACTCGATGAAATTGTGGATATTATTAGATTAGAAAGTTCTATTAAAATTTATTAAAATCTTGAGAAATATATTATCTAGTAATTCTAAAGTAAACTTTATAGAAAGCTGATTATTTATCATCAATTCGCAAATCGTTTATGTTTCGATATTTTTTATAAGGAAAAGACTCGTCAAATTGTTAAAATTAAGGTCATAAATTTATGTGATCGCGTGCGGTATGAATCTTGAAAAATCTTTCTAAATAATTTATAGCAACCTTGATCCTCGACGTATCACTGAAATCCGAACTTGTAATCATCTCGGTTTCAGCTACCGGTTTCTGCAAAATCGACGAAAGCACGTACTCAGTCGCATTACCCATATCTCTTCTCGCCAGCATTGTCCCCTGTGCGCTATAAGAAGACGGAAGCATGCGACCGCCGGCTAATAATATCCGTCGCCAGCCTAAACTCGGATAAAGGGTGTCAAATCCGAGACGCCCAGGCAGTCAGCCGGTCAGCCCTGTTTGTTTCCTTTTTTCTCTACTCTCTTATGCTCGTTTCTACCAATGTAAATTAACTTTAATCTTGGTTCAACTTACTATTCATCTTTTTCTAATTCTTAGAATTAGAAAAAGATGAAGAGATTATTGAACCGAGATTAAAATTAAAGTTTCTACCACATTGGTAGAAACGGGCATTAGACGAGCTTTTCTAAACTTATTAGAAAGGTGTATCGCTGCACTGAAACAGAGAGTGTACGTATTAATTCTTAATTTCGTAAAGTTTGTGATTTATTGTTGAAGTTTCAATTGAAATTTCGCAATATTAAAATATTTTGTACAAATTACCGATATACGTATGATTTTTTTAGTTTCTTTCGAACAGTATTTTTGAATAATGGTAAACTGACGGAACTCTAAATGGATCTCGCTAAGTAATTTATATGTGTAAACGCATTTTTATTATACAAGTTAATTATTAGCAGGCTGATATAGGTTTTCACTTTTCTATCGTTACATAGGACATTTTGGATTAAAAAAAAACGATGCACTAATACGCATTTAAAATTGCCACTATTTGCAAGAGTAAGAAGATTTTTACGTACACGGATTGACTTTAATCTCGGTTCAACTCTTAATCTTTTTCTAATTCTCCAGAAAAAAATTGAAAATTGATTCAGTCTTGAAAAAGAGTGGTTCATTTTTCTTTAAGAATGAGACTTGACTCTTTAGAATAACATTCACTCTAAAAAATAGATTTAGAAAATAGAAGAAAGCTTGAAATATTGTAGATACTAATAGTTGTTTACTGATCATTGGAAATGGCACTTTTGTTGAAAGCTTTCATCGACATTAATGTCGTTAATTATTTTCAAGAGAAAATTGTTTTAAGAATCGTTAGAAGGATTAATTGTTGTCCCCAATTCCATCGATCGATCGATCGATCGTTCGTTCTAGGCTACGTTTCAAAACTTCCTCTCCGAGGAAGATTTTACTCTACATATGCTATAGTATACGTTACGTGTACTATATATTTCGAGTAAAATTTTCCTCGGAGAGGAAGTTTTGGAACGTAGCCTTAATCAATGTCGCATTCGCTTGCGTTCGTGTTACGCGTTGCGTTGTTCTCGCCTCGTTTTACGAGTTGCGTATATGCGGCCAATGCAGCAGCCGCGCGCGCATTCATGCCACCGCTCACGTAGATAGTACGTGCCGTTCGAGAAACGCGGGCAACGTGCATAGCTTTCCTTCCCGTGGCGACGATGCACGCCGCTCATCGTCGACGACGACGCGACGCGACACTCTCGCTCGGCTCGATTCGATTACGAGCCTCGAGCGGTGCGCCTTCGAGGACGGATGTTCGTACGCGTCCGTACGTGTCCGTGCGTATGTAAACGGCGGTGAATTATTAGCCATTTGCGAGAGTGCCTGATGCAGCCCACTTTTGCCTCCTTAACCGACGAAGAATTAACTTTGACGATTCGGAAGACAAATACGATAAATTCACATTGAGCTTATAATTCGACACGATTTGATTTTGTCGTTTTGACGCATTCCGATACCTTCCGGCTTTCTCGAATTCAATTAAGGAAGGAAATCGGTACGCGCTCTGTTGACCGCGAATCGAATTGAATTCTTTGACACGTTCGTTCGTTTGGTCGTTTAAACGTACGTACGTCGGACGTGCGTACGGCGTTGTTAGCTTAAGTTGCGAAAAAATGCAATGTTGATGCGACTGCGACCATTTGTACATCTGCTTGCTTGCGCGCGAAAGAGTTCCTTCTCGTACGCGCGAGTGCGCGCATACCGCGCATACCGTTTCTTCACCTTGATGGAATACGCGACGACACACCGGGTGTCCGCGATCCCCTCGCGCGATATTCACAAGATTAATCTTTGCACTGGGAACGATGTTGCCGGCGATTTTTTTTTTTTTTTTTTTTTTTAGAAATTATAAATTACAATCGTAAGTGATACTTTAATGATGAAAACTGCGAGCAGTAATTAAAATATTTAAATTGTTTGAAGGTGACTTAAAAATACAAATACAAAATATAAATAATAGGGAGCATACAGTCACAATACTAGATGTTTTAAACGGAAGTCATAACAATATAAAGATATGATAATTGGCGCTGCAACCACGTTTTATGATGTATTTTTACAAGATGAAAGAATACGTTTATACATATTTATATTTTTGACGGCTGAATTTAATGTTAGATTTATATAAATTCTGCGTTTTACTGATATTTGTTATTTTACTGAAGATGGTCAGATTGTGGCCGAAACGTCTAAAAAAATTTTTTATTAATGTAATTGTATATTAAATATCACAAATATCTTGTGGTTTTATGTTCTTCTTTTTGTACGTTTTGTTAAACAAAGAAATATATAAAAATTAAACGATGAAAGCTAGTCAAAAAAGATGATAAAACAATTTTACAATTGCTATGGTACGAGTTAACGGAGTAAGTTGAAGTCCAGAAATTGAAGTTGAACAATATTCAATCGTTTATGAAGTATTTTCTATTACGTTTAAGATTCCTTATTACAAGAAGCTTCGTGTGAAAAATACGGAATTTCCAGATTCTATTGTAAAATTATTTTACCATCTTTTTTGACTAGCTTTCACCGTTTAATTTTTACGTATTTCTTTATTTAACATCTTGACATTGTTATGTACTGATGATGGTCAAATCTTGACCGAAACGTCTACGTTATTATATGATAATTCTAAATATATGACTTGCGTTTAAAACATCTAATGTTATGCTCCCTATTATTTATAATTAAAATATTGTTGGAATTGTACGCGTGATATTCAACAGCAAATGTTTTTAATAAAAAATTAATTAATTAATTAACTCTTAGAAATTACTAAAAGTTATTTATTATTTATGACACATAGACGTCTCTCGTCTTTTAATTAAAGATATACATAATTTGGATTTTATATTTTAAATTTCTAGTATATACGGTATATTATATCTTGAATTGACGAAGAATCCAGAGATGTGTGATGGGAATTTCTCTAAAATAACAGTAAAGAAAGACTGAAAATGTACATTCCAAGTTATCACGGGCGCGTGTCCGCCCGCTAATAGAGCGTGACGTGTCCGTAGGTATATTTCTCCGGTATGTGGTGCACATCCTGGATCTATCCCTCTCGTCGTCCTTAGAAGAAAGCGCGGGAGATTCACGCTGGCGGAGCGCATCCAATTAGCGACTACGCCACGCCAACGTATGCCGATTTGATAAAAGCGCTCGCTCATTTCTCTCATCTCACGGTATAAGTGATGTATTATAAAATGGAACCGATATAGAGCAGCGGTATGTCGTTGGAATCCCCGCCCTCTTATCCAAGACATATCTCGGATCTGGCTGCTTGCAAGTGCGATAATGAGAAGCAAGGTCAGCAGGCGACCCGAATTTTGTTACAATATATGTACAGTCATCAAGAAACGTTATATCATCAAAGAAAAAACTGATTTATCTCGAGATACAATAGATGTGGAAAAAAAATTTGTATGATTTTTGGCTGATTTTCCTGATATTGTCTTGTGATACACAAAAAAGTAAGTTATTTTACTTTTTGGAGTAATCAAAAATTAATTTTCTCTGAAGAACACACGTATTGTTATAAAATTGATCGAGGAAGATATTTTATATAGTAAGCACATCAAATTTGTTTTAGTTTAATAATCTTGATTCAGAAGGATTAAATTCACTAGGAATTTGATGCTTGGGATGAATTTATGACAGATTTGTAGATACATGAACTTTTTCGAAATATTTGATACACGTAATTATTATTGTACTTGCGATCAGTATGTAATTTTCTGTATGCAAGCTTGAGATGCGGATAAACACCGATGAAGGTGATATAACGCAGCGTTGCACTAAGCGACGAAAATGCGAGCTCGGAAAGGAGAACTGAAGACTGGGCGAGATGAAGAAGGAATGAACGAGTAGAGTTCGCGTTAGAACGATGCGCGGGACAGACGAAGCGAGCAGGAAGTGACATCCGGTCGGTCGATCAGTCGGTCGGTCGGCGGTCTGTCTCTCTTTCCTTTGTCTAACCGGATCATACGACATCGTGCATTTCGTCGTTGCTGAGGGCTGCGTCATGCCGTGTGACTGTTCGATGGTCTTACCACAGTCGAATCATCCCGTTGTCTGATTTTATATCGCTCCGCCGATGCGTCACGAATTCTAACTATACATAGGGTGTCCCGAAGTGCACTTTGAGTCATAGATTTTTAGCCGTTGTGAATTGATCTTTTTTTCCATGAAAATATCGAGCCATACCGCGACTCTTCGAGCAATTAATGACATAGGTCTGTTTAAGGAGCAAACTTCGGAGAAATATAAATGAAATAACATATTTTTTTTGTAGTCAATTTCACCTAGATCTCGTTTTAATACTACTTTTTTTTGAAGGAGATATAGGTAACGTTGAAAATATAAAAAAAAGTTGCGTGATAAGTGATGGACTGGCGACATCGACATAGATACGCGATTGATACTAACGCTCCTGAATGCTGTTAGAAAGGTATATCCCGATGCTCGTGAAAATGAAGCATTTGAAGACGAAAAGACTGAAAGCGAGGTAGAGAACGGCCGTTCTTTCTTGTTATCGGAAAGGCGTGACCGCGCGAGGTCACTGATAAATGATAACGGATAGAGTCTTTCTCTCTTCTTCTTATCGACGTGTGCGGGAAACTATGGAGCTGGCGAAACGCGATTGCTTTCTAAAATAGTATGCCGTTTCGTTCAAGAAAATCGATAGACGACTGACGCAATGGTTTCATCGATATTAAAGGTCCGGTCACTGCAGTTGCGATCGACCGTGACGTCAGGAGAGAAAAAAATTGAAAGCGAATTGTCTTTTTTTATTAATCGTATATTTACGATTGTGAATTTATAAGTTCTATAACTTTACATACATTTTTTTTTAATAAAAAAAAAAGAATAATACATTATGCTCATTAAATTATTGTTCCTGATAATTGATCATATAAAAACAGCGACAATTTGAAGATTGCTAAATTGAAGATGATTTCTTTATTTCTAGAGATAAATTAAGCAACAATAATCGATCAACTTATTACGATAAGAGCACATTATTGTCCAACTGTTGAAACTCAAACAAGAGAATTTGCAGACAAAAACATTGACGTGTAATATGTATTTGATACTTGATGATCTTAACGAGTTATTTCAACAACGGCATTGCACCAGAACTGATATTATAGATTATGTTTAGATTTTCTTTTTCCTTTCAATCGTCAATTGTTGTTAGAAAGCTATTTTGTTCAAATAATTTCTTCGTTACTACTCTAAAAATAACTTTGTAAAGATGTATATTTTTATGCACTTGATTATAAATATATATATTTTTAATTTATTTATAAATATATATATATTTTT